TTTTAAACAATTCAGTTACATATGAATAAATTACTCTGTGTTCTGCTTCAAACTCATTATTACACTGAGAGAGCAGTATGTATATCCAAAAGACTGTGAGGAAGGTCCAATGCATTCCAGCATGAGATGATTAGTGCTGATACATGCATGTGTACATACTGCAGTGCTGAGCCCTGTACTTAGGGTAATTGGTAGCGCATTAGTATGCTCAGCACTGGTGATAGTGCTAAACGTCCTTTTGAACTGGAGTGTGGCATGGACAGATTGCTGAGTGGTCTTCAGCTAGTTCCTGCCAACCTGCATATAGGCCTGCTGCTTCCACCGCTGCATGCACACAGGAAAGACACGGTCTGACTCTCCTATGCATTGGCAGAACAGGGTATTTTGCCCTTGCTGCAGGACTTAGCAGTGCAAAAAGTAAAAGTCCCAAATATGTATTACTGTAAATATAGCCTGGTTGCATTACAATAATAAACAACAAGGGCTCATTAGGCATAAGGCAAAATAGATATTTCTCTGGCATAAAATCCCTGAATGGCTATTGGGTGAACACCAGAAAAAATAACCCACTGTCTGGCTTTTGGCTTACTTGGGACATCACTCAATACCCCATAGCTGTACATACTGTATATTCTCAGTTTAAACTTCCTATCATAGCCACTGCTAAAAAAAAGTCTAATTCTTGCAATTATATTCTCCATGTATTTATTATTATGGAGAATGGTGCATAAGGAGTGAGACTCCTTTTTTTATAATGGTAGCAGAAGGTGTCAGTGATGACTTGTCACTGATGTCAACAAGGGGTACAAGAAGACACAGCAAGAAGCCACGGCTGATCCAACTATTACTCTTGGAAAGCCTTATTCTCAAACTTACTGAGTCTCCTCACAATATGATAATTAGGATGGTGAGATCGTGGCACTGAATATCAGTGTGCTCAGAGAGAAGACTTTGTTAAACCGAAGAAACAAGTTGGGAAAAAATGTGAAGGCACGGCGGCAAAGCTTTAATTACACAGCAGGGAGCAAATATTTATGAAGGCCAAGAAATGAATTAAAACCAAGCTCACTGGAGTGCAATGTATCTAAAACACACTTATCTTTGTAGACAAGTATAATGTAGGTTATTGTGGAACATTGCGTACTTGGAGAGGGTAGGCAAAGGTAACAGAAGCATCTTTCATCACTTGTCGGACTATATATGTTATTAGACACTAATTATCCATACAGAGTTGAAAAACTTTATGCGTGGCACTAATCCAGAAAACTTTCACTTGCATATTATTCATCCTATACTAATGGCTGAGTATTCTGACTCATGATGCTTTAAAGTAAACCTGCCCACGGATAAAAAGTGTGGTGCCTGCTTGCAAGTATTTGTGTTTACTGTGAAAGCAATCCCTATGAAGCCCCCTTGATATCTAGGTCGAGGTTTTATAGAGGATCTCGGGACTGGGGTTGTACAGGTAGCCACCCTCCAGAAGGAAGGACAGCATCAGCACCAATTCAGAGATGATTTGAGCATCTACAGCTGAGAGATACACAAATAAGATACATTTCTGTTAATAGTTGAGGTACTTGAATGCATTTTTAAGATGTAACTCCTGAGTTTAGTGTCACTTTTACACCAGTACGTGAAGGCACCACAAGATGTTATTACTTTAGGAATGTTTTAGACCTCCGAATGTGAGGCAAGACATGCTCTCTAACACAAGTAATGTGTTATTGTGACAAGTATTGTATTGGAAAATGTATCAACTGTAGTCCTTAAAATGTATGTAAACCCTAACAATGAACTTTCTCATTTGCTCCCGTTTGGTCTGTTAAGGAAACCATTGAAAGTGTTTTATTACATCGGTTCAATAAATGCAAAAAAACCTTGCTGATTGTGAGCCTAGCTTTCTAGTTATACTTTAATGCTCTCTCAAACAATGTTATTAGGAAGTTTGCTAGAACTACAGACACCCCAAATATGTAGTCCTAGCCCTAGCACTTCCTGTTGTAGCGTAACAAACTGTTCCTCCATAGATACAATCCACTGAATGAATGTCGCCAGCCTAGGACAGGCAGTGTGTTTGACAGGATCATCGGGTGAAAATAAAGATTAAATAAAAAAGTAATTCAGCCACCACATCTAAAGGCCTGGTAAGCTGCAATATATTACATTTCAAAATAGATTGCCTTTGAGAGCCCCTTATACATGATTGTTTATCTCATCTCTGGTCACAGGAGGACTGGAAACCTTTAGGCCTGGTAGCCACACACGACACACTAGCCTTTGTACCGTGCAAATAGGGCCATGATGCCTCGTTGATTGGGGGTGCATGGTGGAAGTTGGGTGTTCCCAAAGGACATATTTCATTGCAACACACATTCACATCTTCTTGCATGCAGATCTTGGTATTCATTCACATGACATCTCAGCCAAAAAAGTCAGCGTTCTGTCACATGCTGTGATGGCCACCTAAAGCCAACAGCTTAATGTTATTAGTACTAGCCCCAGGGGCCCCCAACCCAGTCCTCCCCTGTGATGTTTGCTGCATCATTAGGGAGGCTTCCATCAAGATGTACCTTCAAAAGGGATGAATGATATTGCATGTAAAATGTATCTAAACTTCACTGCACCTAAGGGAATGCACAGGTATGAATGCAACCTTATGTTGGTCGCACAGAGTCAGATTTTGATCAATCATATCAAGAACATTTACCCTATAACTGTGTTTTGCCTTCTTGGTTGGATGTAATTTATATGGGTCTCTATGCTAGGCCATCACACTACACATCTGTCATTAAATTATTTATTATCTTAAACATTAAAATCTGATAGTACTCTGCTTTCTACAGCCTACTAATAAATGCAGTGCTACCACTACCTGCTAGTAGGCAAAACACACAGTTACATGTGACAATTGTACATGAATTTTTCATCATCTTTTTAGATTACTATTTCTAATTTTCAATTGTATTTTGTAATGAGTTATTTCATTGATACCCCACATGTATTTGCTACTCTTTGCAATTCAATTTAAATTATAATCTAAAATACCATAATTATCCAATGTGTTTAATTTCACTTTTTTTGCTTTTACTTTGCTGTAAAAAAATAATAATAATAATATTTCTACCACCCACACTAAAAGTAAAAAAAAATAATCAAACTTCTTTCAACTGGTCTAAACACTTCCCTTTCAATTCAAGATCAAAAAAATAATTTAAAAGCCCACGCATGGTTTGATTATTCCTAGAGCCAATATATTGAACATTGAAACACGAACAACAATTTCCCAGCTATGCAATATTTAGATATGTGAACTGAAGGTTTTGTAGAGAAAATGTATCATTACAAAAAGTAAATGAGGTTAAATTAAAATCACTAAGGGTCCCTTCACACCATTATGTTGCAGTAATGCACACTATGCACATTGGAGCTGAGGTGCCATTGATTTTGCAAGGTACCTCAATTCACCTGCCTTCTGCAGCATCACATTACACAGTAACTCATTACTATGTCTTGTTGGATGCTGCATTGTAAAAAAAAAATTGCAGGTATGTGTTTTTTCGTCTGCTATGGTACATTGCCAGCCAGTTTAAAGAATTGGACTGCCTTAACAATACACACACCGCATTAACACGATGCCAGGACAGGTGTTAAGACAACCATAGTGAATTGATAGCAGTTTATTTAGAAAACCAATACCTGTGCCACAGGTTAAATAGAATCTGTAGTCTGTGCTCTGAATGCCACTCTGAACCTGGAACCACCGTTTAAATGTACACTTTTATATACAACATTAGACTTGTTAACTCTCCTCGGTACAAGATATGAAAAACTCTATGGAGCAGGTACTGTAACCAGTAAGGTTATGGTGAGAGAAACTGAAAAAAGGGTTTGTGTGCCATTTAGGGTTAGCAAGAAAAGTCATGCAAATACCTAGTATTAGTGACATTCATCTGGACTTGCTGTGAAATGTGTAAGATTAGGGATGAGGTCCTTCAAACATAGAAGTGCCATGCGCCACCAGCCCAATTAGTTGCA